TCCGTGCATTGTACAAGCGCGCAACGGAGTCTACGACTGGATCCCGGTGTCCCGCGCTGTGGAAAGCGTATGTGGAGTTTGAACTACGCTGTTTACGTGATGAGTTGGCAAGACAGCGGGCGAATAAGAGACCGCGTAGGGATGGTAAGAAGAGTAGATGGGAGGTACGCGTTGAGGAGGCGGAGCAACGGGTCAAGGATACGTTTTACGCTGGGTTGAGGAATCTGCCTTGGTGTAAGGAATACATCATGCTTGCTTTTACGGAAGCGAGGGATGTGTTTGGGGAGGAGGATAAGGGGAGGTTGTATAGGGTTATGTTGGAGAAGGAATTGAGGCTTTATGTTGAGTTGGATGACGGGGATATGTAGATGAAACGGTGGGTGCGGTACATTGGAGAGCCACAAAACTAGCACAAGCGTCAAAGAAGAAGCGTGTAATGGCCCTCCTGTACAGAGAGGCTTTTTTGAAGAAGATATATAACCATGTACATTAATCGCCTGTATCTATCCTACTAGCGAGCCTCATAAACAAGATTGGACGGAAGTCTAGAAGATATCTTCCGCGCCGGCATCCTGCCATGTCGTCTCTCCCTTGGCGACACGGTCTCGCACCTTCCAGTACTCATGGTTGAACACCCAGTACTCCTCGCCAGTAGTCTCACACCTGCCCTTGTGAAACCACCTGGGTACAAACTCTTTGCCTTCAGCCTCTCGCTGTCTGCGAGTCGCTCTCTGCTTCTCTTCGACCCTGTTCTTTTCCACGGCCGCAAAGTCGTACTCGCCGTCCTCCATAGCGCGCTGGTCGGGACGGAGACGCGTGTCCGTTGGTGCGACGACCGGGCGAAGCTTGTCGGGAATATCGTTGAGAGTTACCACGAAGGGAGTAAGGTTGAAGGGAATGCCCGTAGGACGCTCGTGAGCTTGCCAGACCAGGAAAGCCTTGTTGTCGTCGTGTTTTGAACTCTTCCCACTCTTCTCAACGTCTGCATCTTCAAAGCCCGGGGTAAAGCGCGCGTAGATCTTGTCGTTCCATCGTCCACCGATACTCCAGCGGACCCGGTTCTCTTTATCGAAAACCTTACCAACCACTTGGTAAGCTGACGAAGCCTTCCAACCACGAGGCTTGAACTCGATCAGACATTTTTCACCCGTCGTCCAGTTGGTGATTTCCATAGTACCGTAATTGTCGACAACGGGGTTACCAGTTATAATGCCGATTACCGAGGAGGTGACTTTCTTCCAGGTGTAGAGCTCCTCTTTCCCACCGTTGACAGTAGGGCGAAGACGAAGGAACCAAGTTCCGAGAGGGTTGATGTCGAAAGATTTTCCATAGAACTTCGACTTCACAGCAGATTCACCCTGGACATTGTTAGAAATGGTAAAGAGAATATACTTCCAGTACTTACGTAGTAGTCCCACTTCTTGGACTCCGCATAGGCGGCACCAATCGGTGGGTGATGGCTGACCTGCTCGATGAAGAAACGGTAACCTTTGTCTGGTCGGGCATACTCGTAGGTCTCGGCGAGAAGTGGATTAAAGGGTTTAGCGACGCGTCCAATGGTCGAAGCATACTCTGACGCAGCAAAGGCAGCCACGTAAAGTAGTCGCTCGGTAGAGTCATCTCGTTCGGCAGCGGTGTCAAGAAGATCCGTGTACTCCATGTCTTCAGCGACACGTTGAAGCAGTGAAGTGGGTTCGTTGAAAGAGACAGGGAGTGTCATCTTGGTCATGTCTTTACCAATCATGGACTTGAGGATACCCTGAACGATGTTAGCATCTGCACAACTAGTTGCACCATCGGACTTACCCATAGCGATATCTTAGGCCTGTCGTCGGCATCCATTGCGAGCCTCTTCCGCGGACCGTCTTCGTAGCCTGCCCATGCTGTGGCAATCTCCATGTGCTTCCTCTCGAACGGGTCGTCTGAAGAGGCCGGAATGTCTACTTGCGTGGGCTCCTTGGGTGCAGCTGCAGGCATTTCAACAACCTCGACCTCTCCAGCACCAACAGCATCGAAGAACTCCTCATCATCTTCCGAATCGGAGTCTGAGATATCGGCAGCAATGTCTGCAAATGTAGCCTTCCTCCTGACCTTTTGGCTCTTAGCAGGAAGTCCCACATGTGATGTCATATCCTTCTGTTGCTGGGCATCTTCTGGCGCGTCGGCGAAGTCGTCCTCGTCGTCCTTGGCATCCGGCTTGGGGCCAGTCGTCTCGTAATCTTCCAAGGCTTCCCGCAGAGCTTTCTTCTGCTTCCGTCGCTTTTCCTCAGACTCGCCTATCCGATTCTCGAGCTCTTCCTGCTCTTTTGCCACTTTGGCCATGCTCTCCTCCCACATGCGCCTCACATTGGCCTCGCGATCTAGGCGGTACTGCCAATAGGCATCACGATCTCTGGATATGCGAAGCAGATCGCCGATTAGCCCCTTCAGATTCCCGATAGCGGATTCGTACGAGGCAAATGCTTGTAGCATCATTGGGTCGGAAATCTTCAGGTCGGGTGTTCGGCTCCTCTCTGTCTGGAGTGCCGACGACACGGATGTCAGGAGATCGAGTTGTAGCTTAGCCGATTGCGCTGTGATGTTGAATGCGTCTTTGCTTTGGGGCTTCATCTCATGGCTACTCGTATCGTCGCCGTAGTCATCTTCGTCTTCGTCGTCGCCAGCGATGGTAGCGGTACCCATGTGGCTGACCATTCTATCCAGACCTTGGCCGTTCATGCTAGGCTCGTAGACACTTCCAGGGTCCTCTGTTACGCTGACCGCAGTTCGTGAGGATGTGTTGTCCAGACTTGGGTGAGGGACCCCGAGAGTGGATGCTGGACGTGTTAGTGTGTCATGCATGGTCGGAAGTTGGTGACACTTACCAGCAGTCAAATTTCGCGAACTTGGTGCTACCTTGGAGCTGCCAATACTGGACGTGTCGCCTTCGCCCTTGATCTGCTCAATCTTGGCTTGCTTCAGCATCTCCTGGTCCTGGTTTGCCCGCTTCTCCTCTTCGCGGGCCTCGTCCTTGGCCCACTGGATTGAGTTGTTCAGAGCCCAGTACCATCGCTTAGCCTCAACCTGGTGGTTTGCCTTGAGGTGGTACTTGACCGACGACTTGCCCTGGATTTCAAATCGCTGCTTGTCTTGGGGATCCATGTACAGTTTCGCGATGCGCATGTTGATGGCACCGCGGCATGCAGACCCAATATCGTCCTGGTGCTTGTAGTAGCTGAGAACGCCGTCCTCAAGCACGAACCACCGTAATTTGTATCCGGTTGTGTAGTTGGTCCATTTCTTGAGGTAGCCCTTCATCTCACGCGACTCTCTTGCGCCCATTCCGCTCTCTGTCGCGGTTTGGCCCGGGGGTCCACCTGCGAGTATAGTCTTTTCTTGAATGCCCCTCTGGGCTGCGGCAGCGGCAGGTGATCGCTTCAGGATGGCGCGCGTGCGGTCGTCTTTGGTGTAGTCTTGAGGAAGCTTGCCTTTGCGGTCACGACGGAACGGGTCAGCTCCATTGAGCAGCAAAAGCTGGGCCAGCTTGATGTCCTTCTTCTTGGCTGCCTCGTGCAGCAGGGTACCGCCCGCATCCATTACGACCGGGTCAGTTGCCAGCTCTCCGCCGTTAACGTCCAGCGTGCTCCTTATCCTAGCATCCTGGAGTATCTTCTCTAGTGAGTCCATATCCCCAGCGGAAACCATGTGCTGTATCTTTTTGACGTTGGTGTCGATGAAGATGGATCGCGAGAGCTGTAGCTGCTGGAAGATGTCCGGCGTGCGGGCGAGATCCAAGGGCGTCTGGCCGTTGTAGTTGGTGACCGAGTCGTTGATACCTGGCTGGTCGAGCAGCATTCGCACGACGGGGGCGCGACCCAGCGTGGCTGCGAGGTGGAGCGGGGTGTTTCCATCGCGGTCGCGGCCATTGATGTCGATGGGCGAGTCCGGTGTGGCTGTCGCATTGGACAGCACGAACTCGATGACGGGCACCTCGGCGCACTGTATGGCCAGGTGCAGGATGGAGGTTCCTTCCGTGCGCGCGCTGGGCAGTTGCAGCGACGACCTGCCCTCTTCACCGTCTGTTGGCCCTGCCTGGTCCCTGATGGCTCTCGATATGGCTGCGGTGTCGCCATTGCGGAGCGACTCGAATACTCGGAACAGCTTCACCGACTGCTCTATCGAAGTTGACTTGCCCGTGGGCGAGCTGGGCGCTTGCTGGACGCTGGGCGAGACGGGGCTCAGGCTGTCCTGCCCGGCGCCTGTATTCGACATGCTGGTCGAGAGGTGTGGGTTGTGCTTCTTGGACAGACTGCGACTGTGGCCCGATGTTGTTGGTCTAGCTTGCGCGGGCTGCGAGCTGGCCGAGACGGCTGTGCTGGGCGGAGAAGTGTCGCTGCTGTCTGTGGTCGCAGCAGCTCCGTCGGGCTTGGAAGTGACACGCGACAGGAGGTTCTTGACGCTCGACGACTTGGAGCGCTTGTGCCTGCAATACGCTGTCAGACGTGCTTCTGGGCTATCACCGTCCTCCTCCACATGTCCCCCGCCATGACGCCAGCGGGCTTGGAGCACCTACCCTTCCATGCTTGTGTGATTGGCCGACGGGCCAAGGATATGCGGGCCTGTAGGCGACGGGCAGAGGGAGGAGGGGTTTGGTTGGATGTGTGTCAGCACCGAGTCCTATATTCTATAGATTGTGTGCAGCTGTTGCGACTTTGTAGGATTTCACCACTGACGCGGCGGGGCTTCGTGACGGTTTTGGGGGCGTTCGTCAGGGGCGCACCATCCAGGCCGCTGCTTCAGCGAATCACGACTATTGCTCCGCTAGGCTGGGCTACCGAGCGATTATCCCAACATCCTGCTCGGGCATATGTCATGGCGGACTCGCCTAGTGAATGCGTGCATTGGGCGAACTCCAGCTTGGTGAGGCTAAGCTTTGGCTCTGCCTAGATACAGCACTACGTCCTGACACGTGCATTGGAAATGTTCATATTGTACATTGTCTACATAGCGTCTTCACATGCTTAAGCTGAGTCGCCGCCCACGAGGATAATGGCACTACCAAGCTGCCTCCGTAGGTCTTCCTTCTGGACATCGTGCGTGTCCTCTACCTCACCCCACTGCTTCGTCTGCCACGTAACCTCCAGACTCGACGCCTCGGTGGCTTCCTTGATGCCGAAGCGCGGCGCATCAGTCACCTTTCGCGATTGCGCAAATGCTTCGCCCCATTCGTGGATCAACCGCACGCTGACTAGCAGGCTCTTGGACGCCAGCACCGCGCGTTCCAGTCCAGCGAGTTCGTAGGCTGGGAGACCTGCACACCAACCCCGGATCACCTGCTTTGTCATCTCTGGCTGCTCGGTGGGGATGATGGTCTCGGGGTCGAGCGTGGGCTTGATCTCTACACCAGGCCACACGTGTGTCTGGAGGTAGGCAATGATGCCTGTAGCCACTTCCTCCTGAAGCTCGCGCAGTGTCTTGCCGTTCTGCAGCGTCTCGTTCATGACCTTTGCGGGCGCCCAGCAGAGCAGCGTGTCTGTGTCCAGCACGCGCATGAAATAGCTGAGGATGTCGTTCCTGATGTTTTCCCTCCCCTCCTTGTCCGCCGCCTCGATATCAATTGCACGCGCGGCGAGCGAGGTCATGGGGATGTAGTCGTTCTTGAGGGCCTGCTGCGCGCTCATGAGGAGATCCCACTCGAGGGCAATGGCAGTCGCCAGCTGGGGCTTCGATGCGGGCACCGTGAGGATCTGCTTGTTGGGCATTCGCACAGGTCGATGGTCGAGAAAGACCTGCAGGCCGCCCTCGTCCTCCTTGATCGAGACGTCTTTCCAGAAGCGCTTGGCCAGCATGTTCTTGGGCTTGTTGGTGGGGGCGTAGACGTCGCGCATCTCGCGCGCCTGCTTCATCATGTCGGCCTGCCGCCTCTTTCTTGCAACCCGCTCAGATGCATCTGATGGCTGTGGCTCGGGCGTCGCAGGCGGTGGTCCGGGTACTGTCAGACGTTAATTGCTGAGCCATCTTGGCTACGTCGTGTCTCGTACCCGATGGATGAGGCAGCGGCGTGGCGCCCCGCGCCGCTGATGTGTGCAGACATTGGTAGAGGGGCCTGTAGGCTCTCTTGGGCGCCGACAGCCGGATGCTGGCGAGGGCTGGGCGGATTGACTCCATGGCGGTGCTGGGCGAGGGTGCAGATGGCGTGCACGCTGCTCCCAGCCCAGGTGGGACCGCCGCGGCGACTTTTTCCCAGCACGCCAGACGCGCTCGGACATGAATTGATGCATGGCCCGGGTAGCGTCGACGACTAATCTGGGGTTCTCCGCTCCGCAACCCAGACCACCACTCGCCGTCAACACACGCCCGTCGGGTAGCAGAGTCACGTCGTAGCGTTTGCCGATCGCCCTGTGCCAGCCTTGCTGAATATGCGCTGGCTTCTCCACAGCTTCTCGTCTCCTCGCAGCTTCTCCACTGTCTGGTCTGGCTCGTGATCGACCGTTGACGCGCATCTGGCAGCTGTTGCTACCCCACTCAAATCTACCTTCCCTGCAGCATCCAACACGGCCTTTGATGCGGTCATTCCCGTTTGCCGCTGAGACCACACTCTGCTTTTAATGAATCAAGGAGCCCCTCAGACGGCCTCTGCGAATGCTGCCGCGCCCCAGCCCAAGCCTATCCGTTTTGTGACGAACCATGATGGTCCCTATGCGAAGAGGCGGCGCATCAATTCCGCGTGCCTGACATGCAGGAAGAAGAAGACGCGGTGTTCTGGTATGGAGTTTGGCAAGTCTTAGTATCATTTGCTGACGGCAGAGTAGGTGAGCGACCTGTGTGTGGAACCTGTGTCCAGAACAAACACGAATGCGCCGGCTACGGAGACGATAATGGCACGAGCGAACACCAAAAAGAAGGCAAAAAGGCTGCAAGAAGAGAGAGCTCTGTCTCGAATAGCGCGCCTTCCCGAAAACAAGAGCCTCCCATCGACCCGCTGCTCACACGGCCGCACCTTCCCCATACGACGTCGCAAACCTCCGAATCAAGCGTCCATGCCTCGCCCAAGGTCGAGTCGACAGGAAGCAGCGGAGGCTTAAGCCTGAGCACGCGGAACAGAATGCCATACTTCAGGTACTTTGGCCCTACAGCCATTTTGCCCGGTTTGCGACAGATGGTGGTCAAAGTGCGAGGAAAGCAGCATGGTAGTGCTCAGACTACATCAGATCGTACGTTCATCCCGCGCACCATGGATATGCAGCTCATAATGCTGTTACCGGAGAGCACCTGTGTCTCAGAAGCCAAGCAACCAGCCCATGAGGCTGTGCTTGTGCAAAGGCCGGCGCATCCGGCTCTTACTGCTCTGCTGTAACTCCGTATCATGTAGCTAACAAGTCCAGAACACGCAATCGAGTCCTCACCCGCGCAACCATCAGTAGGCTCACCACCAGTGCCAGAAGCCCGTACACCCGCCGAGATACCCGTATACGACGCCTCGTCAATGTCTCCAAGTCCACTCATTACCCACCTCTGCAAGCTGTTCTTTGTGCATCTCGGCTGCTCTTTCCCATTCTTACAACGAGAGCGCTTCATGCGTGACTTGGAGGAGAAACAGGTAGACGCAATACTCGTAGATGCCGTCTGTGCGTTAGCGGCCCGATTTTCGACACATCCTATGCTGACAGGCAAGAGCGACGCGCAGAAGGAAGGCGATACAGAACCCTCCACGATCCCTCCTTCTGAGCATGGTCAAGCCTTCGCTCAGCGAGCCAAGTCAGCTATTCCCGACGCTTTTCCGTGTCCCAGTGTAGCAGTGGTACAGGCGGCGCTGCTTCTTGCATACGATGAATTCGGTGCAAGTCGCGACAGTGGACTTTGGATGTATCTGGGCATCGCCATCCGAATGGCGCAGGATCTGGGGATGCAGTCTGTGGGAGGACTGAAGTATGAGGGACGAAAAGGCCCAACCCCAAATTCTGTCAAGAGCGACCCGGATGGTGGACGGCATTCGGAGCAATCGGCAGTTTTAGACAATCAGGGGGCTAGCGCAGAGGAGCAAGAGCAGAGAGCTGCCGAGCGAGAGAGACTGGATACTTTCTGGTCCATCTTCTTCCTCGACCGCGTCATATCTTCTGGAACAGGACGGCCGGTGACTCTTCGCGATCGCGATATTGAGATCTCGTTTCCCTCCCTGGATGAAGTGGACTCTTCCGGTTGGCCATTGCCCTTTCCTGCGCTGATCCGCATCATTCATTTATACGGCCGCGTTACCGATCTCCTCAACCGGATACGAAGCGCCGCTGACATTACTGCTGACCTGCAGAAGCAACTCGGAGCTTGGGAGGATAGGCTGACAGGCATATATCAGAACCTATCGCCCAAGCTGCACTTCAATGCGGTCAATTTCCAGCAATACGTCAAGCTTCACCAGGGCACTAACTTTCTCCTCCTCCATTGCTGGTTCCATACCTTGATCGTTCTTCTGCATCAGCCAACGCTGCTCAGGACGTTCGAGGGAACCCCGCAGTCCTTGTCCACCAATAGCAGAGAACTTTCCATGTCTTCCGCAAAGACTGTTGCCGACATCTTGGCCTTTACCGAGCTTATCGATGTGAAGACTGGCATCGGAAATCCTTTTACCAGGTATGAGAAGGTCAGGTTTCCAATTCAAAACTCTCATACTGACTGTTTTTAGTCAACCAATATACATTGCCGCATGTGCTTTCCTCAAAGAGACGGCACTCCATTCGGCATCGTCGCAGCCCCAGTCTCGCCCTGCAAGCCCAGGTCGTAACGGAGAGAATTGGCAAAAGGCTACTAACCACCAATCTCTTGACCGTCTGAATCCAAACAACAGCTCTACCAGAGATTTGGAACAGAAGCAGACCGCCGCTAAGCACACATTGCTTGCTTCTGCGGCTAACCAAAATTATCAACGCTGCTATCGTGCCCTCAAAGCCTTGGAGACCTACTGGGCGGGTGTCAAGTACATTATGACTGTGCTAGACCAGAAGGCAAAGGGTGTTGGCGACCCCTTGCTGTACACCGCCGAGGAGATGGAAAGTGCATTAGAAGCCCCTCGACCCGAGCCATCTTTCACTAGCCCTGGTTGGAGGAGGAAACTGAGCTGGGGAACTTATCTGACTGCACAAAACTCTGACGCGGACGTCGCAAAGATGGCAGCCGCCATTCGGAAGGGCGCGAGAACGCCGAACATGCCTGGCTCGCCCATGGTACACCCCAGTCAAGGTATGTTATCAATGCCCATGTTCTCGAAATCTCACTAACAGTTCATAGCAATCGGATGGTCACTTACTGGTACCATGAACTCTCCATCAACTAACGTCGCTGTCATGTACACTTCCGAGAATGGCGAAAACCGGAGTACGAGGCCGCCACCTTCCAAAACACTCCCAGCAAGTACTCAGCCTTCTATCGCATCATTGATATCCGATCCTCCTATCAAATTCGAGCCACGCCAATCTATAGCATCACCATCGGGTTTCTCGCAATTCAGCTCGGCGTCCATGCCTCCGCCGCCCTCAAACCCAACCTTCAACCACATGCCCACACCAGATCCAGTATTGGTTTCAGATGCTGACCTGCTTCTGAATCTACATTCTCCATTCTCGGGCGGCTCGCCAACAGCCATAAGAACGCCATTACAAAACCCGACTTCATACACCCGCTCATCTGCCCAACACAACCAGCTACAACCTACACCTCAAACTGAGTTTTCACCTACATTCGGAAATTTCAACACACCTTCAGACAACACATTCGGCGACATGGTCATCGACACCCAGGACGTCGACATGTCACTACTAGGCGCCGACATGATGCCTTGGGACTTGGAGTACCTACCCCACGATATGCTTTACTTTGGCGACGGCACCTTCGGAAACAATGGCTTTGGAGCAGATGGCGCGCCCGGAGATCACAACACCGGTTGATACCCTTGGCGCTGTCACAAATGTATACTAGACTACTGCGTGTGGAGTTTGCTTTTTCCAAGGTGGGGTTTCGGTTGTCTCATTATGGAGTGGATCGGATGGCGTATGATACCATTTTGCCACTTTATATACTATATGAGTTGAGATGAAAGTCAATTACCTTGTCGGATCCCATGTCTTAGCTGGCCTGCTGTTGTTTACTTGCCTTACCCTGGCAGCTACTTGAGGTTAGGAGACGTCTTTCTCTACGGGGATCTATGAGGCTGGAGGTATTCGCTGTGTTTCCCGAGTGCACGCGCATCTGGCTGAGGTATCAAAGCACATCACGGTACCTCAACAAGGTCATGTTCTGAGACTGGGGTATACTTGTATAACCCTACGGTCACGTGAAAAACTTGATATGCAAGGGGGATGTTGACTGGACATAGTGCTCTAGTGTACTTTGGGACGGTAGTTGGAGGCATGAACAGGTATTCTTGATTGACGGCAATGTTCTGGTGCGCTTTCGGATGGCTCAATCAGCAGCGATAGTGTATACATACATACTAAAACATCCAAATACACGGCATACCCAGGGAGATACAAACGCGCTACACCTTGGAGATAGCTGGCTAATATGGAGGCCGGGAGGTATTCAGTGCTCAGGGTATCTACAGAGTGATAGTCGCGAAGGCACTGAATAGCACAGGGTACCGTAAAGACATCGAGAATGAGAAGAGTTTTATCATTGAATGCCTCTTCGCTATGGCATCTACGTACAGGTATGGCTATGAAAACAGTTGAGGTACCCCACGCTCCACCCTCATCTCTCGAAGTAATCGTATACGAAACCCGTTTTGGTCGGCACAAAGTGTTCGAAAGAACACGAGATGGTAATCAAATACTTCTTTCCATGTATATTTTGTAGAGGCGAGAAGGTTCCAACGCGTATGAGGAGCGCAATTGTGAGTCAGGGAGGGCATTGAAGGTCATCACGGTACTACATAAGTCCCGGAACAGGGGGTATTGGTATCATTGATCATCTCCTGGCTATGGCGTCGATGCGCAAACTTCATCCAAGAACTACTTGACTCATCCCACGCACCATCCTCCTCCTCCACCAGCACTCAGCAATCGTACGCAAAGCCTGTCTTCTTCTGCACAACATCCTCAAAGTTGCATCGCAAGCAATCGCCATACATAGCCATGTCGCGCTTCAGTGTCTTCTCACCCACAGTCTCAGACAAATCG